TGTTGTCTTCTTGTGATGGCATCATTTGTTGCCTGTATTTTGCCCAGCGTCTCCTTAGAGGGCATTTTTGCTTTAAAAAGTAACATGTATTCTTTTTCTAAGAGAGACAAATAAAGATCCCTTTAATGTAAGGACAGGAGAGATGAAACTTATTACCCACCCTGTCTGAACAGGTGTGAAAAATGGTTGAAAAATATTTACGATAAATTGGGGGGCTGATACTTGTCTCAGTTCCACTGGTGTCAATTCAGAGTCATCCCATTGACTTGGGACTTGATACTGCCAGATGCTGAGCACTTTGGTTTGGATCCACTCATGTATCTAAACACATCTTCAGGTCAGCAAGGTACTTAAGCAAGTGCTTCACTTTAAGCACACAGGTCATCCCATTGTACTAATCATGCTTAAAGTGAAGCACATTGTTCAGTGCTTTCCTGGATTAGGGCTAGAGTACTTAGTATTGTACAGGACTGAGCCCCTAAATGGAATGACCCTGGATTTACACTAGGGGAACTGAGATCAGAATCTGCCCCTCGAGTAATAACAGATATTCATTACAGTAGTTTTTATGATGGAGAGGAAGAAGATGAACATGTTGACAATGAGACAACTGTAAACAAAGCAGTACTTTGTTATGATCTTTATGTGTCAGACATATAGTCTTGTGTCTAAACTCGAGGTACTGGTACTAGACTGATACTTTGCTTCAATTTAAGAACATGATTTTTGATTCAGTACCGTTAAATGTCCATAAAGAGTTCAGTCGCTCTCTCTTTCTTACTGTTTTTATAGTAGTTGTTAGTACTGCAGTAGAGATTTTATATACAAGACTTATTTTAATTGTTCTGTCTATGAAGCAATCATAACAATATCTTTGTTGTAAGTTGAATTCTAATGCACAGATACGTAGTAATCATTTTCATTATAAGTTGCATTATAATATGTTAAACATATAAAATATTGTGTGTCTATATCTAGCTATCTGTCTAGGAATACAGGTGGTATATCACACACAGTACATATAGCAAAAAATTACAGTTGAAAAACATGTTATGGATTTTTTTTAAAATTCTGCAATAACACACTTTATTTATACACCTATATCACAAAGGTAGATACATCCATTGGGCACATTACTTTACTTCCAACTTAAACACATGCAGCACAAGCACTGTATTTGAGAACCCCTCACTATATTAAAAGATTATATAGTGTCATCTAAACTAACTGGAGCTTCAAAAACTAGCCATACAAGAACATAACTTAGAAATGACAACATGTTGTAGCCTGAACATTAAAGAAAAAATAGTAATACAAAATGTGACATTTTCTAACCGTGTGATAAATTAATGGTGTTATAAAACCATGAACCATTGAGGCCTGTTCAAGTTTGTTAGAATCCTGAAATAAATTTATATGGCATCCATAATGTGTTCTTAAGCTGCTGTAACATTCCATACAAGCATGACCTACTGTCCCAAGAAACTTTTTGTATTTAACTCTCTGTGAAAAGGTGTCTCGATAAGTAACAACAGTATTTGAGTAATAGCATCACAGTTGATAACTTATCAAAACCAATCAACTTGAGAAGAGGAATGTGTTTTTATTTCACAGATGCCTTTGCCATTAGTATTTAATATCCTCCAAATTGAGTGATTTGTATAATGAAGAGACTGAAACAATAGCAAAAATTGAGGCTACAGATGTTTCATATTTTTTCCCAAGAGCTGAGATAAATACAGGAATAAATGATATCATGTCTTCGCTTGACATTCAGAAGGCTTTGGCATATCTGATAAGATAGTTTCAGGGTTTATCAAAGTGAGTTTGTATAAAAAGAAAAAAGATACCAGCTGGTATTTTGGTTCTTTTCCCTATAAAGGTTGGAAACCATATACGTGCAAGTGTGGGGAAATTATGGCCTGTGAGTAGGCACATCATTGTTTCATGAAAGGAAGCGACAGTTTCCCAAATCCAGATGTATATATTTTGACTGGCATTTCTCAAGGAGTGTAAGAACGTTGGATGCCCAACTCATCAGTACTGAAAGTCTGTAAGAGTTAGTGGCTGGATTTTCAAAACCATGTAAGTGACTTAGGAGCACAAGTCTCATTGACTTTCAATCAGACCTGCCCTTTTAAATCATGTGCTTTTGAAAATCCTAGGTACCTAACTTACTTAGGCTCATTTGAGAAACTCAGGTTTATTTATTGTCATTTTAATATGTATTAAATTCAGAGACATAGAACAGGATTCTCATCTGGTATAAATCAGACCATTTTAAAAAATCTTGATAAGTAGCTCACGAGTTGCCCTTCAACTACATAGATAAACATCTATAAGGCACTTTCCATAGAAACAAACTCAGTGGTCGGTATATATAGATTGATCTTAATCAATGCATCTCTGGTTCTTCTGGTGCTAAAGGTTGTGCATGCAGGCTCTAGAGCGTGCCATTTGCAGTTTCTGTTAGTACATTGTATAATAGGTGATTGGCCTT